TTGTTCTGTAACTTTTTCACACTCTAGTTTGTTCACTGATGATTTGTTTTGCAGATTAAACATTATGATTTTACTCGTGCTAGTAATTCCCTGTGTTGGTAGCTCTGCTAGGTGATTCTTCTCCACACAGTACTGGCCAGGGCTGTAGTCCTTAGGAAACTCAGCTTGGGAAGCTGAGAGTTCAAGACGGCTCATTGGCTGTTACCAGTTTGAAAAATTGTCTTGCTCATTTCTTAGCAGGGACAGGATTTTATTACCCTAGCCAAACAATTGATTGGTCTGGTTTTCCTGGAACTGGAGAGCTGGTGTTTACCATCTGTTCCTCTCTGTTGCCGGGACTGAGGCAGCAGACAGGTTATTCCTTACCCCACCCCACCCCACCCTCGCACCCCCCCCACCCGCTACCCCCCACAACGCCACCACTGCCCACTTCCTTTCTGCTCACTGTTGCCAGGTCCCGCAGAGACAGGGCTGCTCTGCGCTCACTCTGATGGGCACACTAGCCTTGCCTACCCTGTGCAGAGACTGATCGATGCAGAGATAACCTTAGACCAGGAAGCTGCCTTAGACGGCCACGTCCGCTCTCCTGCAGAAAGTGAAAAACAGAAAGCCTGCGTACACAGGGCAGACAGTCAAAAGGTCCCGCTGTGGGGAAAAGGCTCTTCTGTGTAGAGGCTCTGGTGCTAACGCTGGGAGAGAACCAGGCGGCCACAAAACAGCTAGGAAAATGACCAAAAACCTCAACCCCCCAGTGGCAGGAAACACGACCATTACTCCAGAGATAAATGGGTCACTTCCTCTGGTGCCTCGCCAGATCCGTGTTGGCCCTGTCTGGAGGGAACTGAGGAGAACAGGTGTGGTCTCCAGCCTTCCTTGGCATCACCGGCCTGTGTGTCTGCTCGTGGTAGCCTGAGTCTTTGAAGTCTTGTGCGTTTGCCTTGAGCCTGGAAATCTGCGCTTTCAACAATTCTAACACGGACCCAGCGAACACACTTAAGAACTGTTAACCTGGGTCTGGAGAGGTGGCCCAGTGGTTAAGAGTACTTGTTGCTTTTTGTGGAGGGCCTGGCTTTGGTTCCCAGCACAGCATGTTGGCTCAGAACCATCCTTAACTCTGGTTCCAGGGGATCCGAAGCCTTCTTCTGACTGCTGAGGGCGCCAGGCACTCACAAGGATAGGCTTTTCTTGTCCTTCCCTAAGCAGTGTGGCTCCTGGGAGGACTTGGCCTCACCTCTGTGGGTGTTTCCAGCGGTGTGGCTCCTAGGAGGACAAGTATAGATAGGCTAAGCCATTCATGATAGGGATCACGCTGTCTTAAGAAGCCGGTGTCCCCCGAGGGCTCGTGGCATGGAGGATGCGTCGTCTACCTGGTGGCTCAGCGCTTGTAGACGTGGCACATGGTAAAGCCAGCACTGTGCCTAGGAAAGTTTTAGTAGGCACCCAGAGCAGGGCTTGTTTTGCCAGAGAGTCTTGCTCTGTGTGTGTAGCTCAGGCCAGCCTAGAATTTGCCATCCTGCCTTATCTTCCTGAGAGCAGGGATGGCAGGCATGACCCACCATGTCCAGGTGTGTAGTCATGTTTTTTTACATTTCGCTTTCCAGAAACTATAAACATCCAGAATTTGGGGAACCGTGGTTTACCCTTGGGGGGGGTGAGAAGAAAGCCACGTCTTGTGTTTCCTGGTGACTTCTTGAAGGAAGTTAACCAGACTTGCTGGATTTGACCTTGCATCCGTATTAGAGGAAGCGTGTGACCATATAACGATTGTTAATGTTTAAACCCCACAATGGTCCTATTCAGAGGTCTCTGATTAAACGGCTCGTTTCCGTCTTATATCTGGAAAGCGGTTACAGAAGCCATGGTCATATCAGGGAAGCCACGTTTACAGGGGTTGCCTGCTACGGGCCATGGGCTGAGTTTGATGATCCCTGACTCAGAGGCAGCTTGAAGACAGGGCTTACTGATTTTTTTCTAAACGTCAAAAGTGACGTGATTGATGGCGCTGCTGTGCAGGACACAGCTCTCAGGGTGGTGGCGTTTGAACTAGCTGCTCTTTGGCTTGCTGTCCGGGTACAGGTGGGGCCCGTCCTGAGGGTAGGGACAGGGGGTGCATTACTTTCTGCTTTGGTGACTTTTGTCTCCTAGGCAGGCTTTCTGTTGATGTGAGAGAGCACACTGCGTCCAAAAGCCACTTGGGGAGGAAAGAGTTTATTTGGCCTGTGGGTCATAGTTCATCGTTGAAGGAAGCCGGGGTGGGACCCTGAAGCAGAGACCATGTTGGAATGCGGCCTCTTAACGGCCTTGCTGCCCATGACCTGCTCAGTGTGCTTCCTGATACAACCCGGGACCACCTACCCAGGGGTGGTGCGGCTCACAGTGAGCTGAGTCCTCCCGTGTCGGTTACTCCAGAAGATGCACCACAGCCTTGCCCACAGGCCAGTCTGAAGGAGGCGTCCCTGCCAGTCGGTTTCTCTTCCCAGGTGACAAAAAAAAAAGACCCCAAAAACAAAAAAACAGAAGCTGACTGGCAAGCGTGGCTATCCTGACCCTTCTCATTTGTTGCTCAAATGTATTTGGTTATATGATTAAAAATCTGTGCAAAATATGTTTTTTTTTTTGTTGTTGTTTTTTTTTTTTTAAGGCTGGTTTCTTTCTGTAGCCCTGGCTGTCCTGGAACTCACTGTGTAGACCAGGCTGGCCTTGAACTCAAGAGATCCACATGCCTCTGATTAAAGACCTGTGCCAAAACCAACACCTGGCCTAAAAAAAAGAAAAATTTCTAAATGGGAAATTCTTAAAGTGTTTGAAATGCCCGTGTGTTTGATAGGTCATCCTTTCTTATATGCTCGCTCCCCCTCCTTCCCTCCCTCCCTCCCTCCCTCCCTCCCTCCCTCCCTCCCTCCCTCCCTCCCTCCCTCCCTCCCTCCCTCCTTCCCTTCCTTCTTCCTTCCACCTGGCCAGGTGTGGTGGCACACACCTTTAATCCCAGCACTTGGGAGACAGAGGCAGTTGTATCTATTTGAATTAGAAGTCAACCTGGTCTGCATAGCGAGTTCCAGGACAGCTAAAGCTACATAGAGAGGCCCTGTCCAGGCAGACAACCTTTAAATGAAGGTCTTCATCCCCACCGCCTACGTGGTGCTGAGATTCTAACCCAGTGCCTTGTTTGTGCTAAACACAGGCTACCATTGGGCTACATCCTCAGGGTCCTTTCTGTTTTCTGTTAGGCATAGCATTGTGGCTGCTGATGCCGGTAATCCCAGCACTCAGGAGGCTGAAGCAGGAGAAACACGGAGGGTTCAAAGCCAGCCTGCGCTACAGAGTGTGACCCTGTCTTAAAAACAGATAACATTGTCTTTTAAGAAAATATTAACTTTAACCAGTTGGTTAAAGTTTTAAGACACAGTAAAGTTGGCGAGCAAGCGTTTCTGCTTTATGGAGACTTTTTATCCTGTTGTGGTGGCTCGTGTCTGTAGTCCCAGCAGGTGGGAGACTAGGACTGGAGGCTGGGGAGTTCAAGGCCAGCCTGGTCTTCATAGTGGAACTGTTCTCCCAATCCCACTGCCAAAGACTGAAACTTTTTTTTAAAGATTTATTTATTATATACGCAATGCTCTGTCTGCATGTATACCTGCAGGCCAGAAGAGGGCATCAGATCTCATAACTGATGGTTGTGAGCCACCATGTGGTTGCTGGGAACTGAGCTCAGAACCTCTGGAAGAACAGCCAGTGCTTTTAACCACTGAGCCATCTGTCCAGCCTGCTTTTTTAAACAAACAAACAAAAAGCCCACAAAACAGTCTTATGTTCACAGCAGGAAAGCCTGGACACGGGGAGGTTTGCAGAGTTCAGACGGGTTTGGATTTTATAGTCTAAAGTGGGCCACAGAAAAGTGAGGAGTCCTGCCTGCCTGCCGTCCTCATCCAGCGTAGCTGCTCAGACCCTCAGCTGTGTGGCCTTGCCAGTCAGGCGTGGCCTCTCCCTCTTTGCGGCTGCTTTCCCACATGAGACCCTTGTTCCCACCCACAGGCAGGGTGGTTGCTGGCTTCGAAGGAAGTTTGCATGCCCTCCCGGGCGGCCACTCTCTGGGCCACAGTGAGGAAGGAGCTCCTTTTTCTCGGGTTGTTGTGTGGACATTACCTTCTGTGGTCACAGCCGCAAGCCACCCACTGGTGATGGTGTTTATCAGCCCTGCCTCAGCGGGCAGGGGAGTCAAGGGACAGCAGCCAAGCAGGACTCAGTACAGGAGGGAGCAGACTTGGGGGGGGTCTGCCTGTCGCTGACAGTTCTGTGTCACTGTAACCAAAGCTGTGGATGGAAACAATGAATCAATTTAAGGAAAAAGTGTATCTTAGCTCCTGGTTTCACAGGGATTTCAGGCTCTCATGGTTCCCACCCCGGCCTCAGCCCTAGTGCACATCTGACTCCCACCCACCCCCTGCTCCTGGGAAGGACAAGTAAGTCCTCTCTACTTGTGACGTTGCTCACGATGTAGTTAACTCAAAAAAACAGTTCACACTCGCCTCCAGCGCGGCATGCCCGCGTTGCCCACGAGGCTTTGTTGGTGCGGCAGCTGTTATGTGAGGACGAATGGCCAAAGCCTCCCCCACTCTCTGGATAGCCTGGAAAGTGTGAGATTTCTCACAGACGTGGACACGAGGTTTTGTTACTCCTGTTTGCCAGCTTGAGTAATCTCAGATGATACTGGAGATGTGGGTGCTTGCGCTGCACCCATTATACAGATGAGCGATTTGGGATTCAGGAGGCACGGTGCCGTGCGTTGAGCCCCGAGTGGCGTCCGGGCACAAGCCTCAGCCTGGAGCACTGACCTCACCATGCAGGCATGTGGAGACCTGTGGCTGTGCACCGTGGCTCAGACTCTTCATGAAAGGGTCCACGTGTGTGACTCAGAGAGAGGTTCCTCACGGTTGCCTTCCCGTGGTCTGACGCTTTGGGGATGGTAGACTTAGCGTGCAAACCTGTGTGTTTTTACTTGGCAGATTCTCCGCCCTGGTTTTAAGATGATGGGATTGGGAAATGGGCGGCGCAGCATGAAGTCTCCGCCCCTTATCCTGGCTGCCCTGGTGGCCTGCGTCATTGTGCTGGGCTTCAACTACTGGATTGCGAGCTCCAGAAGCGTGGAACTCCAGGTATGGTGTTTCCAGTGTATGGAATCCACGAAATGTTTAAAGTGGCTGGACGACAGCACCACAGCCTCCCTGTTCAGCGTTAGTCAGCGCCTTGGGTTCCGGGAACCCACACAGACAGTATTTTGGGTACCAACCCCCTCCCTAGACTTGGTCTCACGCCCCAGCTCAGCACCACTTACTCTGTGACTATTGAGTTAACAGTCCACACCTCATGTGGGGAGGCCTGGACTGCCGGCCTACAGCGATGGACTGGATACTACCCGCTGCTGGCCTTCGGTCCACCGGAGAAACCAAGGGCGCTGTGGACATTTATGTTAGCTTTCTCACATGTCACGGCCGATTCTGGGTGAGGCCATGCAGTCCTGGTTGTTGTCGTTGTTGGTTTGGCTTTTGTCAGCTTGACACAAGAGTCGTCTGAGAAAAGGGAACCGAGGTTGAGAAAAACCGCTTCCGTAGATTGGCCCGTAGGCAAGCCTGTGGGGGCATCTCTTAGTTAGCGGTTGATGTAGGCGAGCCTGTTCCAGTCTGGGGTGGTGCACGTGTTGGTAGGAGAGAGGAGTCCCTGGGCAGATAGACCGTAGTTGCACAGAAAGAGAGCGGTACATGAACAAGGGGATCAAAGCAGTGAGCAGCACTCCGTTTCCGTTCCTGACTCCGGGTCCCTGCCCTAACTTCCCTCAGTGATCAGGACACGTCAGCCAAACAAAAACCCTTTCTTGCCAGGGTTGCTTTTGATGGTCCTGGTGTCCATCATAGCAGCAGAAACCTACCTCAGATGCATACTGAACAACGACAATGTGTCTGCCTGACAGACTAGAGCTCCTCTGAGGTCTCCTAGGTCATGATCACTCTTTTTGCTCTGCCAATCTTGAGTCCTGCAAGGGATATGCTCATCTGTCCCCTAGGTGTCTAAGGTCGTTGGCTGCCTCTGGCAAGTGTCTGATTAAAGTGTGTTAGCAAGTCCCCCTACCCCCCTTGCATCCCTTGGGTAAGCTTGCACCCACCACCCCTTCCTTCCCTTGCTCCGCTCTTTGCTGGGCTGTAAGCTTCGGTCTCGTGAGATCTTTGCGGAGGGGGCTGGCATTGTCTCTGCCGCTGCCGCGGACCTCAGACCCTCAGGGCTGTGGTCTCCCTCGCAGACGCGCGTTGTGGAGCTGGAAGGCCGGGTCCGCAGGGCAGCCGCCGAGAGAGGAGCTGTGGAGCTGAAGAAGAAGGAGTTCCAGGGCGAGCTGGAGAAGCAGCGACAGCAGCTGGACAGGATCCAGTCTAGCCACATCTTCCAGATGGAGAATGCCAACAGGTTGCACGAGGACGAGAAGGTAAGAGCCCACTGGTCCCCACTGCTCTCTTCCGAATGACACACCCCGGCCGCGTGCCTGGGTTCCCCGTGTAGGTCTATGTTGTTGCATGGAGGTGTGAGCACGCTGGTGGCCGCGTGCCTGGGTTCCCCGTGTAGGTCGATGTCGTTGCATGGAGGTTTGACCTTGGGCGCCGGCCCCTAAGCGCCACTGTTCCCAGCTGACATGTTTGCAGTGCCAGTAGCAGGGCAGGGGTGGGGGTGGGGGCGTGGGCTGGGAGGGGTGGGGGGATGGAGTGAGCAGAGCAAGGTGGGGTGCAGTCGCCGGCTGCTGGCAGTGCCAGCTTTCTTTTCTGCCAGGCTGTGTCAGATACTGGTCACCGGCAGATTTTTGCGTTGTGTGTCTTCAGAGATCTCACACACACACACAGATTAGAAGCAGCCTATAAACTAAGGAGGATATGGGACATACATGTCAAAAACTAGTCTCTCTAAGATCTAAAAAATACAACCGACCCATGCAGCGAAAGACCAATGCCCTCAATGACTTTTTTTTTTTTTTTTTGGTTTTTACGAGACAGGGTTTCTCTGTATTGTTTTGGAGGCTGTCGGTCCAGCCTGGCCTCGAACTCACAGAGATCCGCCTGCCTCTGCCTCCGAGTGCTGGGATTAAAGGCGTGCGCCACCATCGCCCGGCCCTCAATGACTTTTTTAATGGAAAATATAAATACAAAATTGGAAGAGGAAGAAACAGAAAGCTATACAGGAAAAGACTAATGCAAATTAAATATGAAATGTACCTTTAGGCAAAAATCAAAACAAAATAAAAAATGTCACTCAGAGGGAAGGTATTGCTTCCTAGCACTATCAGGAAAGAGGGGCTCAGCGCGTGGCCGTAAGCCGCACCTTAGACCAGGTCCTGTTCATCACCTGCCTGATCCCCCTTGGTTTTTCTGAGGGCTATATGACTAAACTCTCTTTATTCGAGTTTAAGATGGTGGAAGTCATTAGTGTTCATCAAAGCCATGGCTACTTATCGTAGCCTTCCTGGTTCGCGCCACGCAGCAATCTCTCCCTGGCCACGGCTGCTTTGTTGGAAGGAGGCTCGTGTGAGGGCTTCGTTCACAGGTCCCAGGTGTTGTCCCCTACCCAACAAATGCCTGTGAGAAATTGCTTCATGGAGCACTGTTCACAGAGTGCTCTGTTCACCGGAGACTCTGTTCAAGGAGGACTCTGTTCACGGGGGCTCTGCTGCTCCCCTGGTGGTCCCGGAGGCAGGGCAGCAGCTCCGTCATGGTTCAGGGAGCAGGTGGTGCTCCTTTCCCCTTTTATCCTGCCTCAGCCCCCGGCCTGGGGCGTGGTGCACCCATTCAGTATGGCCTCCCGCTTAGTCACTGTGTAGAAAGGAGCCGCAACTCCTTACCAGTCTCCGAGGCATCCCTCAGCCTGGTCAGGGTTCCTTGTCACTTCAAGCTGAGCCTTCCACAGCCTTCTTCTCGCCCTCTCGAAGTCGTGGAGACTGAATCCAGGGCTTCCCACCGGCTCCCTGCTCCACTTTTTCCGCAACGGTTTTAGGTTTGGGGGTAGGGCCCTACTAAGTTTCCCAGGCTGGCCTTGACTTGACTGTGTAGCCCAGGCTAGCCTTGAACTCGGTGCTTTTGCCTCAGTGTCCTTGATGTTGGCGTTTTTGTTGAAGATGTGGGCACAGCAGTCCCTTGGGGGCCAGATTCTCCTTTGTTTCCGGCCGCCTTCTTCCTTCGGCGTAGACACAGTGTCCCTTCCTGGGTGCACCCGAAGGTGGGGTTGCTGAGGGGCCGCCCCGGGTCTGGGAAGGTCGCTGATGTGACTGGATGGTGCTGTCTGCCTTTTCACCACGGACACTCCCAGCACAACCCTCTGTGTCTGTGCTGTGGAGACTGTGGCGTGCCAGCTAGCTCTGTTTGACAGGCCTGCTCCTTCTGAGGTGGCCAGGTCCGGCTCCCAGTCCAGTTCCTCAGGGTCTCTTCTTGGGTCTTTTGAGGTAGTCTCGCTGAGGAGCAGTGAGTGCTCAGTGGTGGAGTTTTCTTAATGGTCGTTGTGTTGTCTGTCTGTCTGTCTGTCTGTCCGTATGTCTGCCCGTCCGTCTGTCCTCTGCAGCACGGCAACTGCTAGCAACGTGAGGCAGTCAAATGCTTGAATGGTGGCTAAAGGGGCCAATGGGCAGAATTTAGCTTTTGTTTTTTTAAAAAAGATTTTATTTATTACATATAAAGTGTTCTACCTACTACCAGAATAGGGTACCAGATTGAATTGTAGATGGTTGTGAACCACCATGTGGTTGTTGGGAATTGAACTCAGGACCTCTGAAAGAGCAGTCAGTGCTCTTAACCTCTGAGCCATCTCTCAGCCCCCCAGAATTTACTTTTAACCAACTGAAATAAAACTGCTGCATGCGGTCAGTGGCTGTATTAACGGTGGCGTAAGTATGGGTGATCGGTTAAGGAAGCTGACTTGGGCTGAAGTTTTGGGAGTCGTGTTCCATGAACAAGCAGGCTCGTGGGCGAGTCCCGGGAAGTTCTTAGTTTTCCTCCCTGTCTCTGCGAGGGTCACGTGTGTGTGTAGGGCTGGGCACCCCAGTTCTGACAGTCTGATATCTGAAGTGCGCCACATTCTGAAGCTTTTTAAGCACCCCACTCAAGACGGTGGTGGATTTGGGCGCACGTCGGACGCCATGTTCTCAGATGCTGAAAAGTTTGTGGAAATAGGGCTAACAGCTGAAAAGCTGTGGCCCTGATACACTGGCGGTCCCAAGCATTTCCCCAGCAGGAGTGGGTAGTGGGGGGCGAGACCGCCCTCGGCGGGTGCCTGCTCCCCCCAAAGTCTCACTGCTTGCAGCTGGGTGGTTGGCAGCTCATCGTGCTGGCTGCTGTTGGCGCCTCCCTGTGGGGTTTGATCTTAACCTGAGCTCGTGGGGAAGACATAAAGCGGTACATGCTGTCCCAGGCTCTCCAGGGCTCGAGGGCTACCTAACTTTTAAAGGACTGCCCACATGTTCCCGTGCTGCCTCATTTTTCCCAGTCCCCAAGTCACCCCGACACGGAGGCTGTAGTCTGAGACCTCATGGTTGGTGGCATCAAAGCTAAAAAGTAGATAATCGGGCACTCTCTTCTCAGCCGTTTGACGTTTCCTAAGTGTATGGTTTTTGTTTGTTTGTTTGTTTTGGTTTTTGAGGCAGGGTTTCTCTGTGTAACAGCTCTGGCTGTCCTGGAGCTTGCTTCGTGGACCAGGCTGGCCTCAGACTCACACAGATCCACCTGCCTCTGCCTCCCGAGTGCTGAGTTTAAAGGCGTGGGCCAACACATCCAGCTAGTAAAGTCCCCTGTGATAAGCGATACGATTCCTTTAAACAAGTTGACAACAGTGTTGAACTATTTAAAAAAAGATTTACGTATTCTATGGTGTGGGTGTTTTCCCTGCATGTAAGGGCTGCAGGCATGTGCCTGGTATCCACAGAAGCCGAGAGCGGGCACTAGATCCCCTGGTGTTACGGTTGGTCGTGGGCTGCTGTGCGTGTGTGCTGGACACGGAACCCAGGTGTCCTCTTCGAGAGCAGCCGCTGCTCCTGATGGCTGAGCCCTGAACTAAACTGTATGTATTCAAGCTTACTGGGATTGCGGGAAGTGACGCAGACTTGGAAACTCACTTCTCGTCATTACACCTCTCACCAGATGGGCTGCCTTGCCCAGAGTTTGATCTTGGGACCCTTAGCGCTGAAACCAGCTTCTTACTCAAGGACCCTTTCCTTGGACCAGGGTGTTGAGCAGGTGCGAGCTGCCACTTCAGAAGCTCACCAGGACCCAGCAGTCTTCTTAGCCTGGGGGCTCCACCCTCATTTTATCCAGTTAGGGACAGGATCCTTGAATCCCAGGCTACCCGAGAACTCTCTGTCCTCTGCTTCCCAAATGGTGGGGTTACAGGTGGTTAATCCCCCGGGGCAAGAATGAGACCACCACCATAATTCTGGAGGCAGATTTGAAGCAAGCTGTATTAAACGCTGACCGGGATGATGGACACTGGTCAGGTCTGTACCAGGGGATCCCAGAGAGTGGATGTGAATAACGTTAGCCCAGTACTTACAAAGGCAAAACCTGCTTCCTGCCTTTGCCCAATTGGGGGCAAGCTTACATCCTGATGTATCTTCTGCCTGTATGTGGCCAAACCCATCTTGTGCTGTTGAGGCAGACAACCTCGTTGACAGAAGTAAAAACATGTGGCTTGTTATCTTTTTTTCTTATTCAAATTCATTTTCTTTTCTTTTTTCTTTTTTTTTTTTTTTTTTTTTTTTTTTGGTTTTTCAAGACAGGGTTTCTCTGTATTGCTTTGGAGGCTGTCCTGGAACTTGCTCTGTAGACCAGGCTGGTCTCGAACTCACAGAGATCTGCCCCCCTCTGCCTCCCGAGTGCTGGGATTGAAGGCGTGTGCCACCACCACCTGGCATCATTATTATTTTTTATTCATTCATTAAAAATTTCAGTTATTTTAATACCAGCCACAGTTTCCCCTCTCTTCTCTCCTGCTGTCCTCAACCCCCCACCCCCCACCATATCCACCCCTTTCCCATCCATTCCTCCTCTGTCTGTGTCTGTCTAGAAAGGGGTGAAAGGGTCAGGCTTCCCATGGGCATCAACAAAGCATGGCACATCAATTTGAGGCAGGACCAAGCTCCTTCCCCTGTATCAAGGCTGGGTGAGGAAACCCAGCTCCTGAGCCAAGTGGGGCTTACAGGTTAGAGGCATTTCTGTGTTATAGATTTTCTTTCTCTCTCTCTCTCTCTCTCTCTCTCTCTCTCTCTCTCTCTCTCTCTCTCTCTCTCTCTCTCTCTCTCTCTCTCTCTCTCTCCTTCCTTCCTTCCTTTTTTTGGTTTTTCGAGTCAGGGTTTCTCCGTATTGCTTTGGAGGCTGGCCTCGAACTCACAGAGATCTGCCTGCCTCTGCCTCCCGAGTGCTGGGATTAAAGGCGAGCACCACGGATGCTGGGCAAGCC